ACCGCCCCCCCGGGTCCCCGGAGCCCCGGCCCCGGCCCCGCCCCGCGTCCCTTTCCAGCCCCTGCCTCAGGGCCCCCCTGTCCCTTCGCAGGGCATAACTGAGCACTAGGATTATGCCCTCTGGAAACGTCCCCCAAACACCCTCAAGTGACTCAGAACCTCCAGCTAGGCCAGCCCATGAGTACTTCTGAAACCTCAGTCAGAGCCAACAGGGTGGGCCCCAAAGTTTCCTAAAATCGGTTCTTCCAGGTAGGACTCTTAGGGCCAGTGGGAGTCGGTGAGGAGCAAAGAAGCCCAGGCACGTTGGGGAGCGACCTAGGGGGAGAAGAGTGTGTACGCTCAGGGAGAAGGGGGGGCGGGCGAGTCCCCACGCACTTGGGGGGCCCCTCCCAGAGCACACAGGTGCCAGTGGGGAGTGTGCATGGGAGGCGGAGGGGCTGGCAAGGCAACCTTCGGGTATGCGGGCCTAATGGCAAGGGGACAGGTTCCTGCCAGAACTGGCAGTAGATATGCGTGCCCCCCCCCCTCGCCCAAGGCTGGGTGCATGTCTGTTACTGGGGAGGGAGAGCTGGTGTTCCAGCCCAGAGCAAATGGGGGAGGTGTGTGAGCACATGGCAGGAGTCCAGCCCAGAGCAGACAGGACCATGGGCCATGCTCAAGGCTGAGCCCACCTCCACAAGGCTCCTTGAGTGGTCCCACCCCAGCAGCTTAGACAGCCTTCAGGACTGTCTGCCCCCTCCCACCCCCTTCCTCCGGAGGTCCCTCCGCCTGTTCCAGCCGTGGCTTGTACACATTTTCCGATTTCCTGTGAACCTCCGCCCAGCAGTGGCAGCTGGGTGACTCAGGACCCCGGTGGCCGGGCCCCCAGCTCCATGGGATCTTTGTTTGCTCAGGCCTTTGGCTCTGGCCCTCTCGCCTAGAGCCGCCAAAGGATTTCCTGAGCCCCACCCCTGCCCTCTGACGGCTGGGCCAGCAGGCACGGAGGCCTGGGGTGGGGGGTCCCTGAGGCCAGGGTGGCCACCCCTTCCACTGGGCTCAGGAGATGGAGACCAGAGAGGTAAGGTGGGAGCCCTGCAAGAGCCTGGAGGCCAGGGGCGGGACGGGGGGTGGGCATCATGGGCTGTGGTCAGTTTTGGCATGGGTTGATTTGAAATGGCCTCTGGGAAGGAGGTTTTACTCTTCCTTGCTCCAACCTGGGGTGAAGTCATGAGAAAGCCTACTTCCCCCTGGGAGCTGAGCTGGGAGTGGGCCCCTGAGACCTCCCCAGCCCCTCTCTGTGCTTCTGCTTTCCCACGTGGGGCACTGAGGCATCAAGGAAACAGCCCCGGCCTCTACTCAGGCCTCCGGCTGCCCTCTGACCTTGGGTGAATCCCTGGCCTCCCTTCTGGTCCCAAATCTTAGCCTGAACTCCATCCAGCCTCAGAGCAGCCTGAGGAAGTATGGCTGGCAGGGAGGGGCTGGTGCCCAAGAGGTGGTGGTGTCTGCTTCTCTGTGTTGTGATCTTGCGTGGACTACTTAACCTCTCTGTGTCTCAGTTTCTTCACCTGTAAAATGGGGTACTAACTATACCTATCTTATGGGGTTGTTGTCAGGACTGACAAGTTTAGGGGTGCAAACCTCGTAGGACAGGCCCGACAGCCAGGAGCACCACGTGAATGTTACCGACGTTTCCCTTCACCTTTCTCTCTAACGCAGTGGACAGGAGCCTGGGCTGCATAAACAGCTTTGGGTTTCCACCTGGCTTAGGAATACTACAGTTAGAGACACTTCCCAGACGCTGTGTGTCAGTCCTGGGTGCTGTCCATGCCTTCCTCCCTGTCTGTCTGTGGTGGCAGTGAGGACAGAGTGGCATGGCTCCTCTGCCATTCCACAGCCTGGGCCGGGCCAGCAGCCCCCCAAGGATGAGAAAGAGGTGATCCGTCGGGCCATCCAGAAGGAGCTGAAAATCAAGGAGGGTGTGGAGAACCTGCGGCGGGTGGCCACAGACCGCCGCCACCTGGGCCACGTGCAGCAGCTGCTACGCTCCTCCAACCGCCGTCTGGAGCAGCTGCATGGGGAGCTGCAGGAGCTGCACGCCCGCATCCTGCTGCCCGGGCCGGGGCCTGGCCCAGCTGGTGAGTGAGGGAGCAGTCTGGGCAGGCCCCCGGGGACAGGAGACGGCAGGCTGACCCAGCTCCTCAGCCTCGGCCCTGACCACTCTCAGAGCCTCCTCAGGTAGCCTCTGCCGGAGGGGAGGTGGGGGAGGAGATAGGTAGGCCACAGGTAAAGGGTTCATGCGCCCCATACTCCATGCACACAGAACCTGAGGCCACAGGACCCCGGCCTCCAGCAGAACAGCCAAGGGCCCGGCACCTGGAGGCTCTACAGAGGCAGCTGCAGGTGGAGCTAAAAATAAAGCAGGGGGCTGAGAACATGACCCACACTTATGCCAGTGGCACCCCCAAGGTAAGGCTCCTGGGCTCTCCTGGGGAGAGATTTGGCTCTCAGGTTATTAGGGGAGGTTCTGATCCAGCCTCTGTTCTGATAGGAAAATGCAACCCAGCCAGTGACCATATAGGGGAGATATGATCTTAACCCTTAGTCTGATGGGGGAGACATACTCGCAGGTGCCAGCTTGGTGGGGAAGACGTGGCTCGAACCCCTAGTCTAACAGAAGGCACAACACCAGTCTAATGGGGGAATCCCAGCCCAAGTTCACAGTCTAGGAGAGAAAGTTCAGCCCCAGGACCAACTTCTAGCACGGTGTGTGGAGCTCGCCCTCAGCCCCTGTCTGGTCTGATGGGAGAGGCTCTGCCCCAGACCTAGTCTGACAAGGGAGGCTAGTTCTCCATCTGGCCTCCTGGGGAAGACTTGGCTTCCGCCGTGCTCCGATGGGGGAAGCTTGGCTTCAGTCCCTGGTCTGACCAGGGAGGTTCTGCACTAGCATATGTCATGACCCCAAAGGGAAGGAAGCTCCTGGCAGCTGCCCAGCAGATGCTGCGGGACAGCCAGCTGAAGGTGGCCTTGCTGCGAATGAAGATCAGCAGCCTGGAGGCCAGTGGGTCCCCCGAGCCAGGTGAGGCCTTGAAGAGCGGGGACAGGCAGGACAAAGCAGGGCATGGGCCTGAGTGCTGACCCCATCCTCCAGGCCCTGAGCTGCTGGCAGAGGAGCTGAGGCACCGACTGCACATTGAGGCTGCTGTGGCCGAGGGTGCCAAGAACGTGGTGAAGCTGCTGGGTAGCCGGCGAACACAGGACCGCAAGGCGCTAGCCGAGGTGGGACCATGGCCCGCCCCCCCTGCTGCTCCTCTCTGAGGGTCTCTTCGTTCCTGTACCACCCTCCGCAGTGGCAGGAGGCACTGTGGACTGGCCGGGTGGGGTGGCAATGAGGAAACAGGAGGCGCATTCGGTCTAGACCTCATTGGGGATGTCTCCAGGTGGCCTGAGCCACTGTCCCCATCCCCTCATGCCCCATGGGCTGGTGTCCCCTCTGCAGGCTCAGGCCCAGCTCCAGGAGTCCTCCCAGAAGCTGGACCTCCTGCGGCTGGCCTTGGAGCGGCTGCTGGAGGGTCTGCCTCCTGCCCACCCGCTGCGCGGCAGAGTGGCCCGGGAGCTGCGGACTGCTGTGTCTGGGAACCCCCAGCCTTCAGGGACACTTGTGAAGCCCACCACCATGACAGGTAGCTAGGAGTCCCACTTCAGAGCTCTTCTTCCCTTCCAGAGAGGACCCTGAAACACAGTGGGGAAGACCTTTGGAGAACAGTTCCAGTCCTGCCCCACCCCCGCCCCCAGCTGTGTGACCTCGGGCAGCTGACATCCTTTCTCCAAACCTCAGCTTATCCATCTATAAAATGAGGGCGACAAAAGCACCTACTTCATAGGGTTGCTTTGAAAATTCAGTGAGTTGTTGCGTGTGAAGTGCCAAGCACTCTGCTGGCGTAGTCAGCACTTGATCAGTGAAGCTGTTATTTAAATGAGTAACCATGAAAATGCTTAAAGCACCAGAGTTAGGGAGCTCATGGCTCTGCAGGCCTGGGTACCCAGTCTGGGCAGTTTGGACTATTAGAAAGTCCTTTCTTCAAGCTGGGTCTGACTCCTTGTAGTGGCAGCCACATTGCAATCACCAAATAATCTGAGAGTGTCAACTTTGGAAGCCCTGAGCTTCCCACCTGGGACACAGTGCCACCTGAAGAGCCCAGTGCCTTCCTGCTGGGTGCTGGTGCAGGGGTAGATAGGCCACATCCCGCTGTGAACAGAGCTGAGAAGGGGAAGTACAGGGACTGGATGGGCCCCCTCACCTTGCCGTGGGGAATCAGAAATGCTTCCTGCAGGAGATGGTATCTGAGCTTGGCCTTGAAGGGCTTATGGGAGTTGGCCAAACGGACAAGTAGGGGAAACAGCTTGTCGAAAGGTCTAGAATTGAGCTACTTGGGGCCACCCGATATCCTGTCTCCTGGCTAAACCCCCAGTTCCCTGAGTTGTTCCTCCTAAGATGGTCTTTGAGCCTGGGCACTGCTTTTTTTTATGAGGTCTCTCAGAGTGTAACCCCCAGGCCTGGACTTCTTGAATGGTGCTCTTAGGCCCGGTTTATGTCCTTAAAAATACGAGAGGGATGAAACTTTAAGGGACGAAACTCTAGTGACCCTACAAATGAATCCACTTGGTTGGCAAAACAGTCTTTTACCTATTGTGGGAGGTGGAGCAGAATTTGGCCTCATTTCCACTGTACAGATGGGGAAACTGAGGCCCAGGGAGGAGGAGGGACAGGACAGGAAGCCAAGCTTCCTGTTCCCTAAGCTCTCACCCTTGCCACGGTGCTCTCCGGGCCGAGCAGCATGTCATCAAGAACTGTGGCTCCATACGGCCTGGCTGAGGTCTGAGTCTTGCTCCTCTGCCTGTGTGTCCCTACTGTCCCCAACGCATGGAGGGTCCTCACTGAGGTGGGGGTTGGCGCAGTCGGTCTGCCTTGAGGGTGGCAGATGGCTGCCAAGGCCTAACACGGGCAGGGTCTGGGTTCAGCCACCTCCAGGAGAAGGTGGCGTTCCTGGGGCTCCAGGCGCCCACTGGTAGTGTCAATGGGAGGGTGGCACCTGACAATGTTCCCCATCCCCCAACGCTCCCCACAGGGACGCTACAGGTCCGCCTCCTGGGCTGTGAGCAGCTGCTGACAGCTGTGCCCGGCCGTTCTCCCATGGCCACGCTGGCCGGGAGCCCCTCTCAGGGCTGGCTTCGGGGCAAGGCCAGGCAGCAGCGTGGTGGAAGCGAGCTGGCCAGTGAGTAGGGGGACATAGGGAGTTGGGGGGCAGCAAGGACCCTCACTCCTGGCCTGCCCTGAGCCCCAGCTCTGGCCCAACAGGCGAGGTGCTGGCTGTGCTGAAGGTGGACAATCGCATCGTGGGTCAGACGGGCTGGGGGCCAGTGGCCAAGCAGTCCTGGGATCAGGCCTTTGTCGTCCCCCTGGAGAGGGTGAGAATGGCCTCTGTGAGGCCAGGGGCGACCTTGGGCCACGGGGTTCAAGGCCGGCCAGGTAGGGGCTGGTGCCGCGCCCCACCCTCAACCTGGCCTCCCCGACGTAGGCCCGGGAGCTGGAGATCGGGGTGCGTTGGCGGGACTGGCGGCAGCTGTGCGGCGTGGCCTTCCTGCGGCTGGAGGACTTCCTGGACAATGCTTGTCATCAGCTCTCCCTCAGCCTGGTGCCACAGGGCCTGCTCTTCGCCCAGGTGCCCAGTGCCTCCTGCCTTCTGATCTTGTGGGCCCCTGGCTCCATCAGAGCTAAAAGGGCCTTCGAGACTGTGACCCACCTGTGCACAGGTGTGGAGAGTGAGGCCCAGAGGGAGGAGGTCTCCAAGAATGAAGGAATCCCGCACCCTCTCTGAGGACTTCACAGGAGTCTAGTGTCCTTGTCCTGCCTGCCTTGCCTCGCGTGTGACCCTGGACTAGCGCCTCTCCTCTCCGAGCCTCAGTTTCCCCACTGGTACCAATGAGAACATTGAACACATTTCTCTGGGCCCTTCTGAGTCTTGCATCACTGCTGTTGGAGGCTTCAGCTGGGATCCTGGAGGCAGAGGAGGTACCTGTGGAAGGTGGGGTAGGAGGGGACTGGCCTTCAGCCCTGCCTCCCTCCCCTGCAGGTGACCTTCTGTGACCCTGTCATTGAGAGAAGGCCCCGGCTGCAGAGGCAGAAACGCATTTTTTCTAAACGCAGAGGTATGGACAGCAGAGGGTTTTGTGTGTAGGGGACAGGGCAGGGGTGTCAGGGGGGACCCAGGACTGAACCCTTCTTTTGCTCCAGGTCAGGACTTCCTGAGGGCTTCCCAGATGAACCTCAGCATGGCGGCCTGGGGGCGCTTAGTCATGAACCTGCTGCCCCCTTGCAGCTCCCCAAGCACGATCAGCCCCCCTAAAGGGTGCCCCCAGACCCCGGCCACACCCCGGGGGGCCACCAACCCTGCGTCGCCCAGGTGAGAGCCACCTCGCCCCAGACCGCCTGCTTCTCTTCAGCGTCCCCCTCTCCACGTGCCATCAGCGTCCATCTTTCTGTCCCTGTCGCCTGCCCTGACTCTCTGTCTGTTTCTCGGTATGGCCGTGTATCCATCTGCCCGGCTATTCCATCGGCCTGTGCCTCATCATGCACCTGCTTCCTCCCCACAGTAATTTCCCCCCCAAGAAGACCACCTTGGGAGACGAGATGAGGCCTCCACCCAAGCCCCCACGCCTCTACCTACTCCAGGAGCCAACCCCTGAGGAGATGCCGGTGAGTGGGGGCTGGTAGCCTTGGGGGTGCTGGGGTGGCCGTGGCGGGGCTGGAGGGAGGGAGGAAGGGAGCCCTGCTCTGCCCTGAGCCCCTCTGCCCTCACAGCGTTCCAAACGCCCCCACATGGAGCTCAGGACTCGACTCGGGTCGTCTTTACCAGCCTCAGCCACCAGGTACCCTTCAGGCTCACTTCTTGTCTGAGACATTATCTACTGTAGTGTGTCCATTGCTACGTCACCCAGTGGCTCCTTGGCATAGTCGCTGGCTCGCTCTCAGGTTCTTGCCCTCTGAACTCACGTTATTGAGCTCCAGCTGTATGCCAGACTAGGCAACTGCTGTCCTGGGAGCCCCCACCCAGGCTCGCCAGCCCCATATGTGGGGACAGCCCAGGACTGGGCATGGAGGGTTCGGAGCGGCTCTTGGTGGAGGCCCAGCCCTTGTCCCGGGGACTTCCTGTGTCCTGTCTCTTGCAGGAAGACCCCCCGGCTTCAGGACTTTCGCTGCTTGGCTGTGCTGGGCCGGGGACACTTCGGGAAGGTAGCGGCCTGAGGAGGGCACAGTGGAGGGGGGAGGGCATCCCTGAGCGCTTTGGCTAGGAGGACACTGTGATCTGTGGGGTAGGGGGTGAGGCAAGGCTCCCCTGTACTCCCCAGCTGGGACCCAACCTCTCTCTGGTCCCCAGGTCCTTCTGGTTCAGTTCAAGGGGACGGGGAAATACTACGCCATCAAAGCGCTGAAGAAGCAGGAGGTGCTGAGTCGGGACGAGATAGAGAGGTGTGTGGTGACACCATGGGGCGCCTGGCCCTGGAGGGTGCCCAGGAGGGCTGGCTGGGGTTGGTGGTACCAGAGGGCAGCAGAATGTTCCCGGGCTTTGAAGAGGTGGCTCTGGGGCCCAGCCAGGCCTAGGTTCTCTTTCAAGTACCTGTGGTTGTTAACGGCCTGCATTTGGGCAGGTCCCCTCTTATCTCTGTACCTCAGTGTCTTCATCTGTAAAATGGGATAGTGGTGGTTGTGCAGGTTCAGTGACCCACGTGAGCCTCTGATACATAGAAACCATCGCCCTACCTGTGTGGCACTTTGACTGAAGACCCAGCGAGCCCGGGGTGTCATGTGGGTGGCAGGGCACGGCCAGCAGAGGTTTTCCTTCCCTCTAAACCCCTTGCAGCCTGTACTGCGAGAAGCGGATCCTGGAGGCTGTGGGCTGCACGGGGCACCCTTTCCTGCTCTCCCTCCTCGCCTGCTTCCAGACCTCCAGCCACGCCTGCTTCGTGACTGAGTTTGCACCGGGTGGCGACCTCATGATGCAGATCCATGAGGACGTCTTCCCCGAGCCCCAGGCCCGGTGGGTTCCCATCCTTCTTGTTTGCCTCTTCCAGCAAGGCTCCCTGCCTCCCTGTCCCCGGCCCCCTTCACCCTGCTTCCTCCAGGGCCCCTGTCAGCAGAAGAGCAGGGAGTCGAGGAGGCCTTGGTTAAATCCTGGGTATCAACTCTCACAACATGTGTGACCTTGGGGCTCAGTTTACGAAGCTGTGAATTGCATTAATGACCATTTCATAGGCTTGTTGCATAGGTAAGTATAACATTGATGAGTTGCCGAGCACGGGGACCGGTGAATAGTGACTGGTGGCTGGAGTTATTTCTTGCCCATCAGGGCTCTGAAGTCTGGGCTCATATACCAGTTCTGCCACTAGCTGTGTGACTCTGGGTATGTCACTTACGTGGAGTCTCAGATCCTCATTTGAAAAATGGGCATAATGAGTACCAACTGCAGGTTGCTGGGAGAAGAATGCGTGAGAACACTCAGCATCCTCCCTAGCACAACCTAAGTGCCCAGGAGGGGCAGGTCATTGGCAGGCAGCAAACTCGGGGTAACCCTGGGGCCATTGTCTGGAGGAACCCCCCAGCCTCACCCCCGCCCTCCACCCGCAGCATGAAACATCCCAGTCTCCCACCCACATCTGACTCTGGCTGGGACATCTGGGGTCCCAAGGCCATGGCCATCCTGGTACCTCCCTGCCCTCCCCCTGCTCTCCTGGGTCCAAACTCCCCTCTACGCCACCCCTCCAGGTTCTACCTGGCCTGTGTGGTCCTGGGGCTGCAGTTCTTACACGAGAAGAAGATCATTTACAGGTAACTTGCCCCTGAGATGCTGGGAGTGTGGGCAAAGGAGCAGGTGCTGCCTTCCTCCAGGGCCACTGTTCCCAGGGCCTTTTTCATCTGCCCCTCACCCTCAGGGACCTTAAGTTGGATAATCTTCTGCTCGACGCCCAAGGTTTCGTGAAGATTGCGGACTTTGGGCTGTGTAAGGAAGGTGGGTGTCTCCTGTCCAGGATCCCATGTCCTCCAGCCTTCCTCACCTAGTCCAGGCCAGCAGGATGGTGGGCAAGTGGCATCTGCCAGGAAATCTCCCCGCCCCCACCCTCATTCCAGGGACCAGCTGACATATTGGTGCCTCCTTCCCATCCCTAGGAGCTTAGAGTCGTAGCCTGCTCTTGGCTCCAGGGAGAGCTTGTGCTTGGAGCTGGGAGAGGGCACTGAGTTCTGCTTTCTTCGTGACCTTGGCATGTGAACTTGGCTGAGACTCAGCTCCCTCCTCCGTCAGATTGCATAAAAATTGTTCCCACCTCCTAGGGGGCAAGGCTTGGCATGGAATTCGGCACATTGGGTCATAAGGGTTGGCTGTTGGTTCTTACAACCACAGAGGTTATTGTGGACGAGACACACTGAACCAGCATTGGTGTGCATGTTGGTTTATAGGGATCGGCTTTGGGGACCGGACAAGCACCTTTTGCGGCACCCCGGAGTTCCTGGCCCCCGAGGTGCTGACCCAGGAGGCCTACACACGGGCCGTGGACTGGTGGGGGCTGGGTGTGCTGCTGTATGAGATGCTGGTGGGTGAGGTGAGTGCTGGACCAGGGCTGCCCGGGGCTTCTCGGTTGGTGTGTGGTGGGGGTAGCCCATGCACCTGCTGAGCCCCCGCCCCTGCAGTGCCCGTTCCCAGGGGATACTGAGGAGGAGGTGTTTGAGTGCATCGTCAATGCGGATGCCCCATATCCTCGTTTTCTGTCGGTGCAAGGCCTCGAGCTCCTTCAGAAGGTAATCACTGCAGAGTCCAGGGCTGGGCCAGACAGCTGCCGTGGCTCACGAGCAGCCCTGTCGCCGCCCGCCCTTGGGGCCCTGTGCCCCAGCCTGCTTGGGGTACTTGGGGAGGCGGCAGTGCCTGGGGTCACGTGCCCTCAGTGAGCACCTGTCCTCTTGCCCAGCTCCTCCAGAAGTGCCCGGAGAAGCGCCTGGGGGCTGGTGAGCAGGACGCCGAGGAGATAAAGACGCAGCCTTTCTTCAGGGTTAGTGGCCAGGCCTGCAGTGGTCCCAGACACCTGGCGCAGTGGGAGGTTTTGAGGGACGTGTGGGTTGCCATTCCTGTCATGTCATCTCAGGCGCCTCTGCCCTTGTCCCCAGACCACCGACTGGCAGGCCCTGCTCGCCCGTGCTGTCCGGCCTCCCTTTGCGCCCACCCTCTGTGGCCCTACGGACCTGCGCTACTTCGAGGGCGAGTTCACGGGGTTGCCGCCTGCCCTGACCCCGCCTGACCCCCGCAGCCCCCTCACTGCCCGCCAGCAGGCTGCCTTCCGCCACTTCGACTTTGTGTCAGAGCAATTCTTGGAGCCCTGAGGGCTTCTCCTGGGGTCCCTGTCCCCTGCCTCCCCAGACCGTTAGAGCCTCACTCGCCCACCTGATGCCGGCTGTGCATCCTGCCCTGGAGGTGCAGGCCTTGCTTGGCATCTACCAGCCCCTGGGACCCGAGGCGGTGGCCATGGGGCTGCTGTCGAGGGCTTGGCTCAGTCACACCCACCGAGTGACTCCTATCCAGACCTGCACCAGAAAGGGTGGCACAGCGAGGAGTGGTCTGTTTTGTTTTTTAATACTTGACTTGCTTTATGGATTATTAAATATATAAAACTGTGCACTGGAGGCCTTCTGCTTTAGAAGCCTGTGCGTTGGTGCCGCAGCCCCCACAGGTCCTCTTCCTCCCCTTCTTTCTTCGGAGGCAGGACTGCCCACCGAGGCAAGGCTTCTGTCATCTCTTCTCTGAGGCCTGGGAGGAGTGGGCAGAAACGAGAAGCCCGAGGCCCCTGGGGGCGGCCCTCGCAGTTTTCAGGCTGGAGATGGTGGCCGTGCCTCCTGTGCCCCTAAGCAGCCTGGCTGCTGCTCTCTTCCTCATCCTCCCCGGCCCAGAGGGTCTCCCAGGACCCCGAGGGCCAGCCGCAGAAGAAGTGGGCCAGGTTGCGAGTCAGGCCACGGTCGAAGGGGTTGCCAGGGCGCTGGCGGAGGTAGGCAATGCGGTGCGAGGAGATGAACTCCCAGGTGGTGGTGTTGCTGGCCACCAGGTAGAGGTGTGAGGCCAGGAGCAGGCTGGCCGCCAACGAGAAGAGGGAGAGCAGCAGGAAGGTGGCGAACAGGAGCCCGCTGGACCGCAGCCACAGCCCCCAGGGCTGGAAGAACCGGAGGCCAGACCTGTGGAGCGGCATAGGGATGGGGGCCCGGAGCTGGGGGAGGGCAGGGGCACCCCAGGGAGCCCAGCTGGGCAGGCCATTTGGAAGAGGGTCCGAGGCCCATGAAAAGGAAGCCCTAGCTCTCTACACACCTTGTGGGCCCGTGCTGCTCACCCGCCCCCCACACCCCGGGCGGTGGCACAACCCACCATGCCAGGTACAGGCCCCACAGAAGCACCACCAGCTGTAGTGCCAGGTAGGCCACGAAGAGCGGGTGGTTGCGCTCCCCCACACAGTTCTCCATCCAGGGGCAGTGGTGGTCGTAGCGGCGGACACAGCGACGACACTCACGGCAATGGCGGGCCCGCAGGGGCTGCTGTGGGCACGGAGGGAGTCGAGCTCAACGCTGGCTCCCCTCTGGACCCAACAATGAGGGAAGGGGTGAGGGAAGGTTGGGGCCTGAATCTGGGAGGCCTTCCTGGAGGGGTGAGGCCAAGGCACCGGGGCAGGAGGTCAAGAGCCCCGACCCCTCCCAGGAGGTTCCTGCATCACCCACCAGCACCATGCAGTATCTGCAGCGCCGAAGGGGGATGGCCGGAGGAACCATGGCTGTCTGCTCCTCCTTGACTTCCTCCTGAAAATGAGCGACAGGGCATAAGATGGGGTCCCCTTGGGAGGCAGATGACACTGGTGGGTGTCTCCCTTGGAGGCCAGCTTAGCTCTAGGTGTGTACATTGTGGGGCCCACGCCATGAGTGATGGAGATGGTGGAGTAGGGCAGAGTGCCCGGAGCGAGAAAGGCTGTGTGACCTTTGCCAGTTGCTTTCCCTCTCTGTGCCTTGGCAATTTCCTCATTGTAGGATGGGGTTCCAGGGCTGGCAAGAGTATTCACTGAGATGCCCCAGGAAAGCCTTCCACATAGAGCCTGGCATGAGACTGTTACTGGGGCCTCGGGTCCACCATTGATGGGAGGAGGGGTTCAGGCCCCTAGGGGCCCCCTGGTTACCTGGGGCTGGGGCTGGATGTTCACGTAGCCTGGGTCCATGAGTGACACGGCCAGGTAGAGCAGCAGGGAGCCCAGCACAAGCAGCAGAAAGGTGAGGGGCAGGAGCAGCTCCCCCTGCTCTTCCCACTGCCGCAACGCTGGAGAGGCGGGAGGAGGAGAGTGAGGCAGGGGCCCGGGTGAAGGGGAGGGTGTGTGGGGGAAGGCGCATGGGGAGGGGACAGCTGGAGGTGGGGGTGTGTCCCTGGCTGAGCGAAGGCCTGGAGATGGGGTTCGATGAGATGGGGTGAGGGTATAGGAGGGAGAAGTTCAGAGCTAGCAAAACAAACAAAAAAAGCAGTTCATCTGCACTTTCTCTGGAGGGCAACAAAGAATCATACAAGGTTTTAGGGTCAGAATGTTGCTGGAAACACTCCCAGTGGAGAGAAGATGGATCAGAGGGGAAGCCTGAAGAGGCCTATCCAGGAGGGAGGCTGGGCAAGGGCACAGGAAGGAAGGGTGGAGAGGAGGGGATGGACAAATGGGGATTAGGGGGTGAAGGGGCCAGACTTAACTGGATGTGAGGGAGAAGAAGGAGGGGTCCCTGCCTTTGGCGCCATGATGGTGAGAGATTAGCCAGGCCTGAGATGCCCATGAGACAGAGACAGGAGGGCGGGGCCGGCAGGCTTGGATGCTGAGATGCTGCTGAGAGGACCATGAGGGTGGCCCAGGTCAGGAAGGGTCCAGCCCATGGAGATGACTGAGGATTTGCTGGGTGGAGGTAGGGGGCTGCGGTGTGAGGCGCATGAAACAGCAGAGTGTGAACAACGCTGGTGCCCCTTGGTTATTAAAGGTAGTGGAGAAGGAAAGGGGTTGGGGGTGCTTTCTGATGGGGAGACTGAGCAGGAGTTTTAGGCTAAAGAGTGAAGACGGTGGAGGAAACTTGAGATGGGTCTTAGGCGGAAAGTGAGAACGCCCACAGTCCAGGGGCTGAGGCTGGAGCAAGGAGGGAGGGGCAGGGGCTGCTGCGGGTGGCAGTGAGGGAGGGTGAGAACTTGTGCTGGAGGTGGCCTGTGGCAGGTAAAGCAGAGAGGGATGGAAGTGGGGGTGGGTCAGTGGGGTGAACGGGGGCTACCAGGGCAAGAAGCGAGGATGGGGACACAGGGGACAGGCCACTCCCCTATGGGGTTTTCTCTTGCCTGGGGGTGAGGAACCTGGGCTTTGGCAGCTGGTGGCCCTGGGGCTGGGTGGAATGCCTGTCCTGAATTTAGCTGATCCTCAGAATCTTACAGAGTGAAGATTAGGAGTTAATTCCTGGGAAGGATCGGGTGGGTCCTGGGATCAGGGGAGATGGGGGCTCCAGTAGGTCGTTGGATCTGGTGGGCACCGCACGGGGCTTGGGATGGACAGGGCATCTGACAGGGAGCAGGAAGATGCTGGGATTAATTCGGGCATCACTGGGCATTAGGCGGAAAGCAGGTGGCTCTTGGAAGGACAGCTGGAGAAGGCCTCAGGAGCTGGCGGAGATGGGGTGAATCCCAGGGTCTCTGGGGCTTCGGCAGGGAACCCAGAAAGACTCAGGCGTCTGGGGAACCACGAAGGATTGGGTGGGTCTGGGGTCGTGCGGTATCCGGCTCACCGGTATCGTGCAGGAAGAGCACCAGCGTGATCCCCCAGGTCAGCACCGTGTGCCCGGTCCGTACCAGAACCCCAGGGTTGAAGAGCGCCCAGGGTGCCATCGCCTTGGCCCCCGGCCCCACCCGGAAGAAGCGCCCAGAGGGGCGGGCTCTCCGAGGGATTGGGGCCGCGGCCACCTGAGGATTGGTGGATCCTGGAGGTGGGCGGGGCCGGATTGGGCTAGGGAGGCTGCCTATTGGATGGCAGCTGCAGCCGAGTAGGCCCTCGAGCCAACAGGTGCCTGAAGAGGTTGGAGGCGGGGCCGGCGCGCGCGCAGCCGGTTACTTCCCCACCCCCAGCCCCCACCAGCCAGGTAACTTTGGAAAGCCGAGGAGCAGGCGGCAGTCTTGATGACCTGGATCTGAGCTCCCAGTCCCACGGCCTCGCGCATGCGTGCGGTTCCCTGGGCGCTTCAAAGATGCAGGTATTTGTTGTGACTCTAGGTTGAACTGTGGCCGATTCAAAGATGTGATGACTGACGCTTCTCCCGAGGTTGCTTCGTGGTGACACCCTTACCTTCTTACTCTTCATTTTCAGGTATTGCAAACAGGACGAGAGCAAAGTGTTTGTGGTGCAGATTCTAGCTATGAGGGGGCCAACATGGGTCAGGGTCAGAAATACCAGCACTGCTCTTTCCTGCCTGGGTGAGCTTGGGAAAGTTACTGAACCACTCTGAACTCTATTTTCTGTCTAAATAATAATGATTATAGTACCCTCCTCTTAAGGTGTTTGGGAGGATTAAATAATGGAAATACAGTGACTAGCACAGAACTAAGCCAACACCTACACC